TGCAATAAAAACATTCCATTTACATCAATGCACAACGCTGACCTATATCCAGTCTCCACAAGCACTGTAGCCATATGCTGCCCAGTGCACACACAACTTGTGATTTTGTATGTTCATTAAATATTTAGATTCTTACAAGCCCCTAAAATGTGAAATGTTGCATAAAATAAAAGCCAGTTTGTCTTGAAGCACAAGTTTTAGGTTTAACATTGAGAAATTGAGTCATTCTCAAATCCTGACATGCATTGTATTACAAGGTGTGCCTCTTGTCTCTAACATCTGCAGACAATATGGCTCCTACTCAAGGTAAAGCAAAGCACAGGGCCCTATACTGTTGATTTTATATTGATCAGTTAATCCACATTTAATTGAGTATTCAATCACTTTGTGCCTCACTGCAAATGAACAAGGGCAATTTTCTTGTGGTTACCATTTTTAATTCACTTTGTAGTACAAAAGAAGAAGGATCATGTGGTGTTTCAATTGCACCTTCTGATGTGGGGTGGTAATCAATGAGAACAGTTTAGGTTTAACTGATTAATTTTGCTCATTACTAAAATAAATATATGATAATATAAAATAAAAAAGCTTTGCCATTTAATGATTTCAATAATTACTGTTCATTACAAAAGGTGAACTATGTAATGTTCCTGCTCTGTCACCTGCTTGTCACCATGGAGATGTCATGTCTGTGCCCATTATGATATAAAAATTATATTATTGCTCCATGGAAACAAGCAGATTGACGCCACCAGGCCAAGCTGCAGGTCAGATCTGTAGAAAGGTGACACTGCTCACAGTGAAATTTTAGTTGTTGTTTTTTTTCAAGGTATTTCAGAGCAATAAAACCCCTTAATGCAAGATGGACAATATTCGTGCCATACTGTGGAACGTTCCATTTTAATAACATGTCCATGAAAACAGCCCTCCTGTATCCGTGTCACAGATTGTCCTTTTTTACCAGAAGAGTATCTCATGATTGAAAGACAATTATGAATTCAAACTCAGTGAAATTAATCTTAAAATCCAACATCACATTCATGCCTACAAGCTGCTGAAGAAAAACTACTGAAATGACTTTATATTGTCATCAAAGTGTTTGGGAGTGGGGCAGGAGACTCAGAGGACAATCAGACATCCGGGTGCGGGGCAGGAGAGAGCTGCAGCAGTCATTACATAAAAGAGGGGGGTTATGTAACAGGCTGTGGGTCTGCTTCGGTGAGGAACTTGGGCCGAGCTAAACACAACCAGATGTGTCAAAGAGGAACGAGACCTACACAAGCGTCCAGTCACATACGTTTACGCACATGAGGCCGATGGGAGGGGGGAATCACAGGGGTACATTACTCAAGAGCAGAGTAATGCTGAGGCACAAGCATGAAAGGAACGCTGTAGTCTGGGCCAACCTGGTAACCCTAATTCTACAGGAGCAAGGCCTTTTCAAACATCTAGTGATTTTTATCCAAAGACTAGCTCAATATGGGAGCCGATTTGATGTCTCAGAATTGCCGGCCGTTTGAATGTTCAGTCAATGGTCCATTATGTAAGACCAGGAGTTGTCTGATGAGCTTTATTGTTGCCGGAGTAACAAAAAGATGCCTACACATTTCTGAGAAGAGAACAGCTTGTGCCCACAGTAACATGGGGAATAGAGCGTGTGTGGTTCCTGGACGTCAATATGAATCCAAAAGGAAGCTGCCCATGTCATTAAAGAGATTAAATTATGCATTATTCAGGGTTATATTAGGACACCAACGCATTGGTGTTTTATGTTTTACATCTTAAAAAGGTGCACCATGTAACATTTACAGCGGAGGGAGTGTCACCAGATAAGGTTATTGCTTTAATGTCTAATTATTCCTTCCACCGTATGGTACAAACCCATCTTTCATTCGTTCAATTACAGATGCCTTTTTGCAAAAAAGCACTAGATTTGGTAAAGTCACCAGCTTGTCTCCATGGAAAGTGCCAAGCTTTATGCCACTCCATGGAACATTTCAGGGACCTTAAACCCCGAATAAAAGTGTTCAGCCCCTAATTATCAGTATACAAACTCTGACTGCCGGCACAGGACACAAGGAATTCTAAATAAGCAATGTGAGCACATAAATGGGAAGGGTTGCCTAGTAAATGCGTGTGTACAAAGCACCTCATCCCAGGTTTCCTTTAAATGGCAACCAGTGTTTTAATCACATAGAAGTCTCCAATAAGCCTGAATGAAGCAAAACAACTCCAGGTATGTTTTATTTTGATGCCTTGTGATTCAAGTTGCAGTTTATGTTTTCAGAAGATAGAATGAATGTTAAATCCTAAAAACATTAACTGCAGCTTGTGAGATCTGCCGTGTCATGAGACTGATTTAGATTTAATTGTGATTAATCTTGCAGCCTTAACACCAGGTATGTCTTGGATGATGAAATAGTATACCAAAGAAAAAAACAGACCATGGAGCATAACCTAAGACATTTAAAGTCATTTGCAATTATGGTTGTACAATGTTGCAATCGAAAATTATAGTTTGAGTTGGCGAAATTATCAAATACAATTATTTAGATGGATGATAGAAAGTCGTGTGCAAAGTCCAAACAAAATCCTATCCTATCTTTATATAGAAACATCTTGTTAGGCCTGTTGTTTAGAAACATGGACTCTTGTATTAATTTATCAGTTCATATTTCAGTCTTCTTCCAAATGTTAATCCCCCTGGAGTTGTTTACAATGTGCTTTCTGAACAGAATCCTAATTTTTTCAAGTCGCAAACCTCTAATTAGGTTTTTCTCAAATTTTGTAGCCCTGTGCACGACCCACCCTCATGCTCATTATGCTATGGGCCCTTTGCGGACAGAAAGAGACGGCCTGCAGCATAAGCACACCAACAGATGTCGACGAGGCTGCAATCCTCTCTCAGCGTAACTTACAGGAAACCACGTTGAGAACAGGGGGCCGGATTAGTCCTCTGCGATACATAGAGGCATCCAAAGAACTAGTAGTAGCCAAAGGAGGTCATTTTCCACACGACGAGCGACCCAGCAGAGGTTAAATAATTAAAGGGGGAGAGCCTGACGACAACGCTACAGTGGCCTGACTGGAGTTGTGGTGTAAGCCATTAATTGGTAACTGAGGCAAATGTCAGCAGAGAAAATGTGCTGTTATGGTTACATACACGCCATTTACAAGAGGGATTATGCAGCGATTCACTGTGAGAAATGCAGCCTGTAGTGTCTGTGGGTGGGAAAACTCAAGACTATATACAAAGCAGCTTCAACTTATCAATATAATAGTAAAAAAAAATAGTGGAACCAAATAAATTATGCAAATATATAAAATCTGACTACATTATTGATATCTGGGAAGGTGTCACAGGTCAGTGTCAGGCCAATGGATAAACCAGGTGGAACTGTCTGTGCTCAAGATTAGCATTTTGGATAAGAAATTACCATAACTTCACAACGTTAAGACTAAGCTCCTGAAAGGTCAAAGTTTAAACACTGTCTAGTACCTTAGTTACGTGAAAAACATTACATCAACTACAATATGTAGAACAAGCTGCACCGGGGGCACCTTTTGTCCTAGTTACCCGTTGTTGACTAGTAGCACATATCTCACAATGCTCTTGCTAATTTATGACATGTTAATTTTAGAAGACTGAAATGGACATGGTAAAATAGTCAATAAATTGTCTTTAAGAAAGCTGTTCCTGTGACTGAGAGCTACAGATCAATGAGGCAGAAATGAAACAATGTGCACAAAGATCATAACATCATCTGAGCTATTATTTTCTACTGGGGTAATGCAACTTGAGCTGGACCAAGTTCTGTGTAATGAGATTAGTTTGAGATGGTCATTTAAAGGATACTAACTTAACTACACTGTGCTTTATTAAAATACATCTACTGTTCTCTGAATAATTAGACATTTACATAAATGTTATAAGTCAGATTATATAAGTAATAGTTGAGCAGTAGAAATTATTTTACACATGTATTCATTTATCAAGGCTAAATGCTAGCCTTTAGCCTAACCCAGTATAGGAGACATTTGACAGATCTGTTGGTTCTCTTGTAGTCGCATGCGCGTTTTTTATCTCTTTCAGATCAGCACTTCCTGTTTAAACGTCAGAGGTCTGCTGTGAGCTACTGCACTTTCTGTCCTGATGAGGTCAACCTTGAGAAGCTTTATTTTTAACTACAACACTAAATCAACACGAATAGTCTGGTTCCACTTTTGATTTCAAATGTCACTTTTTATTAGACACTCTAATAATTTCTGTGTGCTTTTAGGAAATTCGAAATAGTCTCATTCTCACACCAATCAAAGCATCTAAAGACAACATGAAAAAGAACAATAAAATTTGGTGTTAGCTGCTACCTTGTTAATAATCTACTATATTCTGCACAGGTCAGTTAGTCCATTAAGGTTCCTGACCCACATGCTATACTGTGACTTTCCACCACTTAAAGCTGCAGGACTGAGGAGCCATGATGTGAACTTCCCTGTACTGCATTTGCCCTCATCACACCAGGGTCCATGCACACCCACACCTTAAGGAAAATCACCATCAACCTCAACCTCCTGTTTCATTTTGCTTTGAATTTATGTGAAAATAGAACCACAGAACATTTCGTTTTACACTCTCCTATTGTCAGAACTGCAGAATATTCATGTCTGCACTGGATACAGGAGGATGCCACCCACACACCTACAAAAGCTCCAGGGGCACACGGACATGGTATCTCTGCCTACCCCTCCCTGGAGTCTTCCTCCACCACAAGTGACTTGTAATTGTCATTAGCACCTGCTGTGGTGTGGTACAGTAGTATAATGCCTTCCATGAAAACACTGATCTTTCACCAGGAGTGTAAGTGAGGTGTGATGAGATAATAATCTAATATGTAAATGCCTTAATCTATTTTAATGATGCAAACTTTCTCCATAGCAGCCCTTGTCAATGTCACATAGAATCACATAAGCGTTTGTTTCCTGTTGACGCTTGTACTTACATTTTGACATGTCTCTGCTCAATGTCCACCCGGGACAGCTCCTCCTCCTCCAGGTCAGAGTCCCCTCCAGAGCTACTCTCGGTCACATCCGAGTCGAAGGCGCTTTCAGCTGAATGCAGGTTGGCCGTTCCACTCAGGTACAGCCGCTCCAGCTCCAAAGGCATGGATCCGCTTTTCAGGAACCTGCTGAGACCATCTTTGTTGTTTGAGTGGCGCCCAGTCCTCCATGTGGCCGTGGGGGTGGTGGTCTCTGACTTACGGTTAGTAGAAATTAACCGACTAAGAGCGGTGTCTAAAAAGCCCCCGAGCTGCTGTTGAATGTGGCGCTCCACTTGCTTGGCCTGGACCACCTGAAGGCGCTTACGCAGGCGGCGCAGTCGACCTTCGATCTCGGACTGGCGGTTACTGTTCAGGAGAGTGCGCTCCCTAATGTGAGCTTCAATGGACTCAGAGTTGGAGCCACAAGGGAGGGGAAGGTCTGGTATAAGTGCACAGGACGGAGAGCCTTGTTGGCTGCTCCCAGGTCTCTCCCCATCACATCCCTGTAGCTGGTTAAGTGTGTTTAAATCAGCCTCCACCTGTCCACCAGGTTCACTGGAGTTTGAGGCATCTTGGGTAAAGGGGGAAAGTGCAGCAGGTTGAAGCACTGTTGATTCAAGGTTATTTCCATCATTAGTTTGGGAAACCCCTGAGGAATGCTTCTGATTGAGGGTTCCTTTCAACGGGACATGTCCTGATAAAGAAGCATCTAAAGTCTCTGAATCCAGGGGTTGGTTTTGGGTGTGAGAGTCTGTGGCAGCAGAAGGCTTGTCACCGTTCACTGCCACCACGCAGCCAGAGCCGGGGATTGTGGCCAGTTTCTTGGCCAGGCCATTGACCGGAGCCATAGGCTGGCTGCCACCGTTGGTGCTTCCACTCATTAGGGTTTTGAGATGACCACCAGAGAGTTCAATGGCCTGCCTTTTCCTCAACAGGAACTCCCCACCACCGTTGAGCAGGGAGGTGGGCAGGATTCTGTGATTTTTAAGCACTGACTGTTTGAGAAGGACTCCTTGCAACTTGATTGACTCCTTGGTTGAAGCAACAGACGTCACATCCGAGCACAGGTAGGAAGCTACCAGAGGCTGAAGCTTTCCCAGGGCAGAGGCCTGTGCCACTGGGTCGGCCTGGGGCTGCTCCTGCTCCTGATCTCCTCCACAAAAGTCAAGCGGGCACTCTTCTGGGGCGGCCTTGCCCTTCGCAGGACCACTGCTATGGATAAGAATGTTGCTGGCGTTACCGTTGTTCTCTGTACTGGCTGGGGACAAACTGGAAGAGGGGGCAGCCAGTTTGAAGCGGATGTGGTGAGCTTCGGCTGGGGCGTCGGTGAGAGCGGGCGCCATCGCAGCCATGCAGTGCCGAGAGACGGGCACCAAGGCCTGCTCCACACCACCCGCTTACTGCCCCGCCAGAGGACAGCCTAGGGAGAAATCACAAAACAGAAATTATGAAAAATGTTATGTCATCTTGTCATGCATACAGACAGTCCTGTGTGGCAATTCTACATGAAAATTTTACATAATAACTTCAGTTGTAAAATAAGAACAATACATTCTGGGCTGTGCAGATTCAAGATATGCTTGGATCTTTAGACTCAAGGTCTATAGTCAACTCTTTTTCAGTAAAAGCATGTGGTTTGGAGTTCAGACCTTGGAGGAATAAATTTTGCCTTTTATTTAAGTGGTTATCATTAAACACCTATCTTGCTCATTTCTGATAAATTCTTATTTTAAACCAGTGCTATATATGTACTATTAAGACAAGAAAAATTGAATAGATGAAACTGCAGTCAATGAGGGAAAATTTATATTATTTCATAATTTTGCCCATCCCTAAAATACAAGTGAAAAGCAACTGAAATGTCAACGTGTGTAAAAGTATACCTGTACTTCGCGTTCTGAGTCTTGACAGTGGAAAATTTTCATGCATCATGATCATTAAAACAATGTCAGAAAAATACAAAGTGGTCACATGATGACACGGTGAATGTTGGTGATAATCATCTCCTCAATAATCTAGTTTACATTCATTGAAGTATTATGCTACTGGACATTTTGTTAAAATTTTGATTTCCATCCATTTGTTTTGCTGCATTAATAAGTAAATACTTTTCTTCATCCTGCAGTTTGAGATCGTTATTATTATTTTTACTACATTTCTAGAATTGTACATAAAGAATATTATGACCTTTCAGGTTAAAGTTTAAGCCTTATATAGGTTCAAATGTATTAATAGCGGACACCAGACAATAGAAAAATCTGTACAATAAATTTATTTACACAGATACTGGTGCAGATTATTTTCCCTACTAAAATGTCTACCTCTGAACGAATCAAAGACGAGTGAAATGAACCAAACCCACTGCCCTACATGTGCTCGGGTTAAGTCACTGTGTGACAGGGCTGTGTAAGTAGGTGGATTTAGGTCCAGCATTAGTCTAAAGCACATGATGTCATCTTAACACAGTTCAATTTAAAAGTGTATAATCTAGTGTCCTAACAATTGTCAACATGTAAACAATAAAATTAACGGTGTGAAATTAAGAAAAAAAACACCGTCTTATTGCATTTGCTCAAATAAAGCGGCCTTGCATCAAGTAATAGAGATGAAAAGCACACTGCATCTGAGCGTATCTTCTGCAGGGTCAGATGAATGAAGGCTCAGTATTTCACCGCAGTTTCTAGTCAGCGCGCACTACGCCATGTTGGTATTTCCGAAACAGATTATGCAATACAATTCATATACCTTCAAGCCGTCCATTATGCTCAAAGCACACTGAACCAGTTCCCACCGTATCAAAGATGCTTAGACACTGTCATAATTGCTCAAATTATTCACTACAGCTTTCAACGCACAACTGCTATAAATAACTGGAAATAGATGCGACACAAAACCCATCTCTCTCGTTAGGCGACCATAACGTAATCATCAAAACGTCTTCCTGGTGTTTACAAAAACACTAGATGCAGCAGTGGTTGATCCAAGAGTCATCCGCCCCACAATTCGCTCCAAGGGTAATAAGGTTATTTAATAATGGGCTGGTCTATAGACGGGATATGGTGAGATCTGACGTGGGCTTGCTCCGGTCATGTTAGTACCAACACACGATTACCACATCAAACAATCCTACAGAACAGGACCATACGATAAAGATCGTATCCAAACCATGTCGCCCAATACACTACGTACTAATTAATGCGCTTCGTTTGTGGCTAACGTTAGCCCCGAAAGCTGCTGATGCAAGAAACACAACCTGCTGGCAAGCCAATGTGCGGGTCCCATAAGCCAACTGCAGTGTAACCATACCTTGCCACACCACATTTTGTACCAATCCGCGCCTCAGGATGAAAATGGTTGTGTCTACCCTGTTCTACAGCGCAGAGTTTTTCAACGCAACATCCCTGAATGTGCGTGAAATTACAACTCTGGCAATTCAAGTTATGTTTCCTCCGCGTTAGTTTTGGTTCATACCGCCCAGTGTTATCTCATTTGCGACAAAAGCTATAGTCACGTATGCGGTAACTTCGCAGTTAAATGCACATCTCGTGGTAGAGTAAAGGCCCGTTTTGTGTGATTATAGGCCAGACACCACTTGAGCATTGCAACTCATTTTAAACAAACGCGTAAAGACCTATTGCAGAGTGCTGGAGACATGGTGTGCATTGTAATTAGATTCAGGAAATAAATACGGTCAGCGCGTCCAGGGAACGTCTGGAGACTTGTCCAGTCATTGTCCTATATTACTACTTAGTGAAAATAATACAGGGCCAGTGTAAATATGTCAGAAGCGGGTAAGTTGGGAGTAGACCTTGCGAGTGAAGCTAGCTCGCTAACAAAGAAAAAGGAGGAACCTACCACGTGACGAGGTTGCACTATCCGAGGGAATTTCGGTAACAATCCCCTGCAGTTTGGTGAAAAAAGCCAAGGTTGCTAAAACAAAAAACAGAGTCTATTCGTTCACTTTGCCATTTATACTCCAAAAGGCACCGAGTTACCTCACAGGCCCGGTGGACACAGCCGCTTGTTCCGGATTCAGGCAATGGGCGAATCAATCTACACCTTGCTCGCTCGCCTCGCCGCTAGAGCGAATATAAGACAAGGCCGAGAAATCGCGGTTTCTACACCAAGTTACTTCAGATTTACAGCATAACAAGGCAATCCTTTACCAAAAGAACTAATTCTTCGTTGACAAAAGGTAATCCAGATGGTTGTTTTACGCCAGCGCTTTTCTCTCGTTTTAGGGAGAGACGTTTAGAAAATGGCGGCTCGCTCCTCTCCCTCGGATTTGAGTCTGACAAACATAGAAGTGCTGTGTGTGTGCGTATGCGTGTGTGCTGCTGGTAGGCGGGAGACATTTCTCATACTCACCACTAGAGTAAAGGGCAGATAAGAAACGACAAAATGCCCCAAAAAGATACCACAGGAGGGCATTGTCTTCCAAAAGACAATGTTGGGCCAATTTTACATTCGTTAACTGCATATCTATACAATAGCTCGTTCGTAACCACAAGCTGCAGGGTTTCTAATGGGCTGAATAAATACAATAGGAATCAACTTGTTCTGCGTCACACAACCTGTTTATCTAAAGACATCCCGTATAAGCACAAAGGCATAATATATTATGTCAGGGCAAAATTAAACCATTATGTGGTGCCACAACATAATGATATTGAAGAAAAAATTTCCACTAATGTGAGAGGATCTGGTTTGTTGGTCAGATTGTAGCAAATATTCTCCCAGAGTCTGCAGCACTGGCTATGTTGTTTTTCACGTATGTTCACGTCACTTTTTTACAGAAACGACTGTCGGTCGCCCACAACACATGCAATGTTCCCCTGATGTCCACGTGAGGGAGCCGTTTTACCGTCATAAATTTGTGCCAAACATGTTCCGAGTAAATAGTAAAAGCGCACGTAAAGCAATGTTAACTACTTTTGTAGTAATATTTTACAACATACAATGTATTAAACTTTACACCATAGTATAATTTAAATTATACAATAATTATACATCTCCATTCACAATTATTGAATGCATCTTAATTTTACTACTACAAACATGGATAATACAAATAACTATTGTTCCAGTGATGCATTGATTGTGAATAAAATATTTTCCCAAATATATTAATCTGAATACTAAACCCAAACAGTTTTCACTTATGTACTACTAAAATAATTACTGCAAATGTATTTCAAGTGAAGAAAAGTGTATAAAGCATAGACATAGTATAACTAAAGCCTACCTGTAACTCCATTCCTGTCATTCTCTTTTCCATAATCCACATGCGAGGAGATGGTCCTGGAAAATATCTGAAATCAAAATGCACAACATAAGTGATTTACATAACATATTATGAATGAAATCATTGAAATAAAATCATTTTGACAGTGTATATAGATTGAATGTTACAGCTGAATGTTGCAGTCATAACGTTTCCATGGACATTTATAATGAAAAAGTTTACGTTTTCCAACAAATGGATATGAGCCCGTCATGAAATAAGCATTTAACTTAGTCTAAACTAATGCATTATTTCATAGAGAAAGAAAAGATATAACAGTGTTTATCATGCATGAATTGTACTTCAGCTGAAGTATAGTTGGTTAAAGCTAACGTTAGCCCAGGTCCTGTTTGAGTCTGATGGTCTGAGGACATCGTTAGCTCAGATGCTGCTGGCCAATGAAGCTTAGCTAATGCTACTAGCTTGTTTAGTTCCCGATCCCATACTGACTTCTCAATGAACACAGTTTTTGCATGTTTACGGTTAAAATCACCAGAGAAAATTATATATAAGACGACATACTTGTAGATCATTTACATAAATACACATCTTTGTCCGTCGATTAGTGTGTTTATTTATTTTTCCCGAAATAATAGGACAAAAATCTTACTTACCTGCTTGTCCTGTTACTAACCGTTTACGACTCGATAACAACCCTCCTCTGTGCTGCGATTGGTCCATTCTCAAATTTAAGCCTTCTCATTGGTTCTTAGAGGTGTCAATCACAACAAATACCCGTACAGCGGAAATGTGCCCCGAAAGTTCATAGCTCAAAACTTCAATATTTCAAATATTGCATTAATTTGAAAATAATTTCACTCACTAACAAGTTTTCCATTATATTTGTGCCATTTTTCTGCAATGCCACTTTGCAATTCTCAATTCTGACACATGTATGCTAGCTAGTCATTGTCCAGCTAATACATTTTTACATTAAGTAGCTTAGTTGTAAAAATCTATGTTATTATAGATGCTATGTTGCATGTATTTGCACTACAATTACTTATTCTCACTATAAATTCACGCAGCGTAATATTTTTCAAATCGTATTTTATTAAATTGCAACTCTCTTATTTGCAGTAGTTAGTTTTTGCAGCTCATGCTAAACAAATGGTTGCAGAGTCGAGACTGTAGTTTCGCATTCACCAAGAACAAATCAAGAGAGACCTAATAAATATGGGGACATGTGAGCGTAACCCTACATTAAGAGCCGTATAGGTAGGCCTGTGAACCGAATGCTATAAATATTTTAAGATGATGGTGCAAATGCCACTGGTATTTTAAATTATATTCACCAAAGTGCCACTTTACTCTTCACCAGAAATATTGCTGCTTAGTAGGCCTACACAACTTCAGTATATGGAGGGGTATGGTTGGGGTTGGTACAGTAATATTGCAGCCTTACAAAGATGGGGTAGCCTCAATGGGGTAGCCTACTTCTACTTAAATAGGCCTGTGTAATGTTCAGTAGGTTAACTTGTAGGGCTGATATCTATGGGGAAAAAAAGCTCACAGACAGTTGCAATTGGACAAACATTTGTGATCAGGACATTATGATTTGATGTGAGAATATAGTCTGTTTTAAAGTGTACATCGAATTTGTGGACCTGCTGTGAGTTTTATTTGTATTTGTATAACCTTAGAACATTTTATGCTCTGACTAAATATATTAATCATTTTCCAGGCAGTGGTCCATTTTGATATTGTTATCTGACTGGAGGAAAACTCAGATAAATACATCGAATGATAAAATAGGCCTCCATATCCTACTAATAATAAGATGGATAATATTGACACTTTCAAATGCAGTATCAGGTATTTGGCAATATCTAACTAACTGAATGAATCCTGGTGTGCACTAGGTCTAATCTCTTCTTTCATCTTATCCAACGTAGTAGTTCTTGAATGGCTCCACGTAAGCATTTGATTTTAAGGTCTAGCGTAGATTGGATTTCATTTTTTACTTTTACTTATTTATTTTGACTAATTTGTAAGTTACTATAAACTCTCAACTTCTGCCAAGCCTTCAAATGTAGGTATAGAGACAAAGCACTAGATGGCGCTAATACATTGCAGTTGGAAACTACTGTAAATTAATTTCAACGTTCTAATAATTTGCTATAGCATCTTTGGCATTCAACTATTTCATCCTTTTTCATTACTAAATAATTAATTGACCCTAGTTGTGAGCCAATTTTTGTTCCAGCTTTTTATCAAGTCCAACTGTTTTGCCACATGGGGAGTATCAGGCATCCTATAGTTAAACATGTTTTTCATGAAAGCTTTTACTCTCTGAAACATATGCATTCCCTGTAAAACTCACGAAGACCATTTATTCCCAATCAATATAAAAATGTATGTTGGAGCATGCTTGTCCACACAACAGGAGGTCTAGGAATGCCAGTGTGATGTAAATATGTTATAGTTGTTTTCCATGTATTACTCATCAGTTCCACAAGAATAGGCAATCAAATAAAAGGGATATAGTATACAAACATATGTGTCATTGCTATACCATAGTAATGGGAAAGTCTTTTATCAGTGCTATCACATATATATACATATTCTTGAATGAGAGCGATGGCTTTATGGACTTCCTCATTAGTGTATCTTAATAGGGTTACTGTAACAAAGTGCACTGTATATTATCTAATCTATCCATAGTTGGTCCCATTTAATAAAACGTTTCAATATTTGGCTAGAGTAACTTTGTCCTGTTATGTCTTTATTCAGAGCGTTTTTTTTTTTGTTTTTTTTTTTTTTTTTACACAAACACAAGGTACAACAACTCTCAATAAAATAACTAATGATCATATTTGGGGTTGTGTGGAATATTTTAAAACAAGAAATCCAAATTTAAATAAAATATTTGATCTTAATTGTATTACTTATAGCCTTATCAAGCAAGAGGACTGTTATTTAACACCATGAATCAAACCAAATCATCAGCTTCTTCTGCAGTGATAATGAAGCTGACATGCACCACACTCCCATCGCGAAAGCCTGATTTCAAGATAATGCTGCCAAATAGGGCTAATCATGAACCCAAGGCTGCTCCATAGGCTATATATGTTCTGCCCTGTGTTTGCATGACCATTCACATTCCATTTAACAATATAGTATCACAACAAGCTTTTCAAATACAACTGCCATCAGGCTGTCATACTGTGACACTCAACACTTGTCACACAATAATATTTCTACAAATCCACTGTAGTATTGCAGATTCAAAGACAGAGGGGAAAGGAGCGTATTTTTTAACTCCTGTTCATGGAGAGAAGGGTGCATGTTTACTTGGGCAGAAAGAACTGGTCTAAAAGCCAGTGTCAGGATACACTCTCCTTAGAGACGCACACACAAAGCTTAAAAGGATCGCACGGAGCGCAAAATGTATTTCTTGTTTTCTTTGTCTCAGGGGAAGCCATCCATAGACAAATGGCAGTGTGATCCAAGACTCCGGCTTTAAAGTGTAGTACCCATCACAGCTGCTCCACATGTACTAGTATTTTTTTTTTTATAGAAGAGGTATATCCAGTTGTTTTTCTGAAAAGACGGGGTATAAATAAACCAGATTTGACATCCAAGCCATTTGTTAAATTTTTAATTCAGTCAAACACAAATTGACATTTTCAAGTATGAAAATAACAATATTGTAAAATAAATAACAATAAATAATATTGTGTTTTACATAATGAATTTGACTGACCATCACACACAGTACGTACCACTTTAGAAATTATCAATAATTTCTTTTGTTGACCCTTTTCACTGTGTTGGAATGACACATTGAGGTGTACTCTTACACATGCTGCTTATTCCTGCTGTTTTAAAAAGGTGACATTTTGAACATTTTTACAGTGCATATAAACAATAAATTTTAATTTTTTAACACAATAACTGTGTTTTTTTCTTTTTTTCAAAGTACTTTAAAAGGCAGCTACACTGACTGCTTGGTATTTAGCATAAGAATATTACATAGTGGAGTGGCTGGTGTTTAAATAATCCTCTTAACTTTATCAACCATAACTCCCACATCACTGAAGATGACAGCTCCAAGTGTTAAGGAGAAACAATGAGGTCAATATACAATACGTATGACTTTAACAGCAGTTGATAAAAATGCACAGGTGCAGGACATGACGTATCTGAGGAATGTGGTCTGTGAGTGGCAACTGTGCCCCTGCCATTTACAGCGCATATTTTGTGTTCGGTTGGACTGATACTGGTGAACACCTCTGGATCCAGAATTTATAAGTATTTACAAGATATCTGTAACAATATCCACTCAAATATCAAACTTCAGGAAACCAGCAGAAAGCTGACCACAGCGTGCTGTGGGGAGATCTGTTTACAATGCACCATATTGAATGTGCTAATAAAGAGGCAGCAATAGTAAGTCTCTGCTTGACTGGAAGAGTTTTATTACAAAACATAGATGTATTTTTGGAAAATATATTCCCAAAATGAGGCAATATGTGGTCAACAGAAGTGTGTGTAAACGAGAATGTGCTTCACTTTAAAGTCACTGATTGTGTATGGCATATTTTTGTAGTAAAACTCTTCCATTTGAACATAAGGAATGTATTTTGAGTTTTGTGTTCTGGAATAAAACTAGAGCATGTACTAAGCTGAAAGACAATAGAGTAAAATACCACAATATTAAAGGGGATCAACACGCTGACCAGACATTTGTTGAAAACATTAAAAACAGAAACTAAACAATAAAACGTAATTTCAATAGCTTCATTGTCCCAGCAGCAGAATGTCATTTGAGTCAAGGGCCATCGGGCCTCAGTCCAGTGCAGTGCAGTCCAGCAGCACTAGCTCTGGCTCTCCAATAGTGAGGTGTGAAACAGATTTTTAATTTAATGGATTTTAAATACATAATATTAAGTCTTGTACATTCACAACAGCTGAAACCGATCAAAACATATCTTGGTCACTTCTTGCTTTGTGTAATCCACTAAAATCCTGTTTGATAAAATCTGCAGTGTCCTTCCTCACTCTCCTCTTTCATTTATCCACTAAGTCTATGTATGGTCTCTCCTGAGGTTTCAAAGACTGCTGTAGCCTCTTTCTCTTTGCTCCCTGGCCTTGTCCCAGCTCAGAGAGTCTTTCAGTGTACTCCACAAACTGATGACGCTGACAGACTAAAGTTTCAATCCAAAAGCGTGTCCTGGGACAAAGCTGGTCTCCTGTTTCATAGAGAGGTGGACTGCTTGATGCTGTGGAAGCTGACCCGTGAAGGTGACGTGGGGATGGACATGGCCTGGGTCATCCTGGCTCGGATCGAGTGCTGCTCCTGCCACCGGTGGAAACGCTTCCTCACGGCTGACCGCACCTGTCAGCAGACAAAACATATTTACTGAATGGCAGGAGGTCAAGTCATTAAACACCACATAGTACAGTTCGGTTAAGAGATTGTCTGACCTTGAGTTGGAAGTCAATACATAAACTCATATATTTTTACCAACATTCTTTTCTTGAAATGCTTGTTCTAATGCAAAACACTAGCTGCTACATGATTAAATTATTTGTCCCCACTTCAGTTAAACAACAGCATATGATATGAGAACATTTTAAAGATTCTATATTATATATTATGAAGATCAATGCCACTAATTGGGAATTTTAATTAAATGGAAAGGATATATGTTGTTTCTGAAAGTAAAACAACTACTACTTAATCCAACATGTACCTGAGATAGACACTGAAACAGCAATATTGCCAAAAACATACATTGTACATCTCTTTGCTACTTATTTTTATACATTTTGCTACTCATTTTGAATTGTTACCTATTTTGAATTTATTATTAACTATTATATTTTTGCTCTATATTATTTTATATGTGATGTGATGTGTGTAAATCTAAGTCTGTTTATTATTTAAACCAACATAAACGAGATTCCTCCCTGTTTAACACATTAAAACAAGCTCAAATCCCCGACAGCTGTCTCATATTTTTTCACATGAATATTGAGTACTTTACATTATACATTATACTGCATATTGCCTGCATATTGCCCTGTTATTCTCAGTGTGTCTGTGGTTGCATATTTCTCTAGAACCTTTATCCTTCACTTGCTCTGAGCTGAAACTAAACTCTAAATCAATATCATCTGCAAACTACACATGCTGGTTAAGCCCCTTGTTGGCGATACAGCAGGGTCTATGATGAGACATTCATCCATCATACGACCAGATAAGGCTTTGAGGGACTCTGAGACAAGAGCAATGCAGTGAGTTGAAACTACAGCTCCACGCAACCAAGGGAATAACCAATGTAACCCTAGTGGCAAATATGTGGTTTAATAAGGCTTCAAGCGTGCTGCAAATATGCTAATACAATCCAACTGATGTTTGCAATCGTATGTGTTGTATACACTGTACTGTACATGTATAAGGTCATTTGCTTCTTTGTTGAAGGGATTTTTATGGAAAAGGAAAAAATGCTGTACTGAAAATTAATTGCAACATGGATCTAAATAAGAGTTAAACCTTCACGTAATTGTCCTCACTGTGAATAAACAGCTGAATTTAAATAAAATATAAATGTCATTTCTTTCCACTAATCTTGTTGGTTGTGACATCCTTCAAGATTTTTCAGTTTAGCTTAGCATACAATTCTTTTCGAGACTGGTAACACTAAATATATAACAATAAATACACCAAGCCATCAAGCCAATGAAACATCGCTGTAGGAAGGTAATAGAAAATAAAATCTGTGTTTAAAGGTGTACTATGTAACTTTTCTGGTGGCGGATATGCAAACTGTTGTCTCCAGGGAGATGTTTGGCTGGAGTTTTTCAATGAGTGTAATTAAACTTGTGTATCTCCATGGAAACAAGCAGGAGACACCACCAGACCAAGTTGCAGGTGAGATCTTTGGAGAGGAGGGCCCACTCACAGTAAGAATGCATATTGATGACATTTGTAATTGAATTGTTGGAAGATTAATAAGTTTAATGCTATACTATGAAACATTTCAAGCAAAATGATAAGATTTTCATGGAGACAAACAGATGGCAAACCCTCAACCAGAAAAATTACATAGTGCACCAACTTCAGTCTGGCCACATTTTTGCTAGCAAAATACATTTTAAATGCCTTTTAAACCTTTATTGAACAACACATTAAGCAGATTGTGCTTACAGAGACCTTGTAAAATTTCATTGCTATTTTTATAGGATTTCGGCTTGTTATCCAATTAGCCCTGGCACTGTCACTAGGCGTAAGAAGTGATGTCATTTATGTCACACTTAGTCCACTGTGACGACTAATTGCACCTAAATATAAATGCTGTACTCCTCATCACTCAACCCCACACCCAGTGCACACGTGAACAGCAGAGGCCACCAAAAGGATAGAGTGGAAACGCCCAAAGCCCTACTATAAAACCAGTGTCTAGAGCAGAGGGAGCTGTGAAATGTTGGATCAATACAAGAGGATGTGAATCTGCTTACCTCACTATTTAGGAAGCAGTAAAATACTGACACAAAGAAGCCCTGTGTGAGAGGTGAGATAGAGACAAAACATGATTAAAGAGGGGTCGTTACAACATCAGCATAAACACAATTTAATCACACACAAGGGCTTAACACATGCATCACACTGATTCACTCTGTCCTTTTTTGGCAACAGCAGAACCATCACTCATTTCATTTAGGCTACATCAACAAATTTAAAATGTTTATTTCACTGTTCAATTCAAAGTGAAATCCACCTATTTGTTTTAATGTGAGGATTTAATTAGAGAAAAAAACAAATTTCAGTCTTATTTCAATCATAAAAAACATTACATAACACTTAAGAATCATCTGTTCCCTTGTGGGATTGTGGCAGGAAATGATCTGCCTCCTCATTTGAAGGGATTTGCTAATTAATTTGGATTTTCTTTTCGCCTCTTTAAGATTTATAATATATTTAGCAATTTGCAGGCTTGGGACTGGTTTATATGCTTCACTTTATTTTTAATGATAAAATCTATTTTTCACATAAGAATTACTGCACATAATTGAAGCATCGTGTTGAATACTACGGGCAGATGATTAGCAGAGGCTTATGGTAATTGAAAATCCTTTAAATCCCTAATAAAATATGACTAGAGTGAAGGTGTTCATTTTGCTCTATCTAATATAACTTATTCATAATATTGTTTATTTGCACCTATATTGCAGAATTTTAAAATGCAATGTGCTATAAAAAATACTGCACTTACGGTATCTGTGCTTTACATAAGTACATTTTAAAGGGGATACTTTTTACTTTAACTTACTACATTAGAGAGCAGGTATCTGTACTCTCTACTCCACTACATTTCTGAATTAGACTGAAAAATGAAAGGTACTTTTTATTGTCTGAGAACTGAAGAAAATGTTTCATTCAGTCAATCAGTTCAACTGTATCTATTGAATAAAATTCAGCACAAATCTTTATCAAAATCATTACATTTGAAACTTTATGGATCTAAGAATCTGCGCACAATACTTGTACTTTTTAGTCTTTAAAAGTACTGAGTAAAAACTGAGTACCAATACTTCTTCCACCACTGTCTATGAATACAATTACATGACATTCAGTCTGTGTTATATCTGTAATTTCTCCTGGTAACTCACCTGAAAGGACTCCAAAAATGAGTTGAAATAAATGAATACACTTTGTGAGATCTCATCCTCTCCTGGATTGACAAAAAACAGCATATATGTGATTCCTAGGAGAGGCAGCAGCACCAGTGTAGCCTTCACCGCTTTCCTGAAGAGAAACAGAGCAGACATGACAGTGTTAGCATGGCTATCTTTGGACACTAGTGTCTGCTATCTGTGCTATCACACCACTACTTTGTTGAATAAAAAGAGGGACCCCTGTACCCATCGCCGGTCAAGTGGAAAACATGAATTATTTACGATGTACAAAAAGAATACCTCAAGAGTTTTGACTTTTGAATATTTAGGCAGTGCCGATTGCAGGGGCAGTTTGTTTACCTGTACTGGATGGTTTCAGATGTGGTGGAGGCGCGCAGTTTGGTCATCAGGATCCGCACAATGTTGAAGAGGAAAATAAAATTGATCTATGGAAAGAAAAATAAGAAAACATAATAACTAAAAGTACAGAACAAAGCACATAACAAGAATGAAAATTGTTTGTAATTAATAATGAGTGATACAACTGTTATTAATATTTGAACAGAAAGGGAACAGGACTAGAGAAGGTCACACTTCAACATATCATCTAAATTATTAAAAAAACTAAATTCCACATGAATACATTCAAACATATACTGTGTGTTTCTACCATAGACTGTATATATAAATGGATATAGCTAATCCGCTAGCTGCCACATTCACAACTTGAAGTGACCATGGGCGCTCTTCTGGCTCCATCGACTCTGGCTCCAATTAACATTACATTAAAAAACTGTCACCCCTCTTTGTAACTGAGCCTTGTCATTTTGGTCTTAAAATTCTCATATTAACCCTCGGGCGGGTACTTTTTTTTTCATTTAACCAATCACTGCTATTTGGTTGTGACATATGTAATGCAAACTGGTATATTAAACTTTTCCCAAGTCCCGTAGGAAAAAGGGCAATAAAGTCTTTCCCCTTGATAAAATTCACCGAACATTCTCTTTGTCCCAGCTTTAAATCCTCGATCTCTGGAATCGTTGCCAACACAGAATATATGGATCTTCACTGATTGGCTGGTGGCCAAATTCGCAATTCCAGTGTTCTTGCAAACTGTCTAGTGTATTCCAATTCCTGAACTAGTCGCTGGAGAGAAATGAAATTGAGTGGAGGCACTAGGTGGCGCCAGCCTGGCTACCTCTCTACATGATCCTGGTGTTTTTATTTTGCTATTTTGTCCAAAAATAAATTTCTATTCTTAATCTGGAACTCAGCTCAAAATTCACTCCTAAAACTGCTTGCCTCGTCAGTTTTCGTGGAGACAAACGCGATGGGTGACGTCACATTTCCTTAGCTCACTTCTTTATCCAATCTATGATTTCTACCTATAATACCAAATTAGTGAACATACAAATAGTTAAATATTGTATTATATTGTAAAACTGGCATGGAGGCAAGATGACAGTTTTGTTAATGATCATATACAGTATGTGATTACAGTTTTAATCACTATAAAATATAAAGTTAATAATTTGTAATTTTTTCTGTAGATATTTCTAATAAAAACAACAAAACCAAACCAAAAAAAAAATCTGACCTCTGCCCCCCATGTGAGAGTGTGACATAATCAAAGAATCTGGAAACAACCAATCGTGTGAGCCACCACCACAGCAGTAACAGAGGAAGTAGCAGCTGTTTTTCGCGTACTAGTATTTTAACAGTGTGTACTCACATGTAGAGTACTTGAACGCTTTTTAAACAATAATCAAAAATAACCTTAAATATTACACTATTACTGTAGTTTTTATTTTCCCATAACTATTAAAGGGTCGCCCACACTGTTACTAATATAGTGACTCATTGCCAACACACATCACCAGCTCCAAACTTGCACATAGCCATACTTTTCATTATAATCCATTTTACAGCAGCAGAGGGTCACCTATTATTCTTTCAGCAGCTTTTGTTCAAGCAAGAACCACTTTTGTGTTGAGCTCCTACTCAATTCTGTGCCCATAAGTGTATGTAGGTTAAAATGTAAGATGATAGCGCCATGTATTTTTCATAGCATATTTTCCTTACTGTACAATATGTGGCACTGTTAAGCTAGGCGTGTCATATCATATGGGGTTTTTACAGTCCTGGTACAGTATCTCTGGCTCTTGAACTATTTTGAACACCTTAGCTTTGGTATTTCCTGTAATATAACATGAAAGTATGTACTAAATCTCGCAAAGAGATAGCTGACATGAAATTTGTCCATAGAGAATTCTGGCATGGCATCTGGTGGTGCTTTGAAAAGTGAAGTAGTTTTTCTAGCTGTTGCCAAAAATGCTAAACTGTGTAATGAAGGAAATTTGAACAGTGGCAAGATCAAAACACATCTGGTGAATGTGTATGAATTTAAAAACACAAAGGAGCTTCCTGGATTGTGATATACTGGTGAAGCTTACACCAGAGATGGGCAGGTGTTGAGTATGCTATAGATAGACCAAAATGAATATTCAAAGTTATAATTATCAGGTCAATCCATTCAAAAGTTGATATAAAAGTTACCACACATTTGCATTTTTGTTAATCATAGTTATAATAGAACACATTTGCTTGGGATATTTAATGTTCTGAACAGAATATAAATGAACTGGGTGTTTTTCCATTGAGGGAAAGATTAATACAATTAAAATATTTTTTCTTTTACATCAAAAGAACCACATCCAGTTTTTAAAGAATTATACACTACTTGGAAAAGAAAAGAAAAGAAAAGAAAAGAAGGGTCACAGAGAAGGAGAGAACTGATGATGGCATATATTTACTATAACTTATTACTATGAAGTTTTTTGGTTGTTGCTTTTGTTAAATCCAGATACAGAAACAAAAATCTAAATTCACTTGCTACAGTCTTATACTCTTATTGTCAATACCAAGATGAGACTAAGTCCTAATACTCGGCCCTAATTAATATGCTAATCAGAGTAAGAAGAAGATAATTTCCTCTTGCAATTCCCAAATGACAAGGCCTTAGTAAGTCTTACCACAATTACTAAAATATGCATTTGTTCAAAAGGAGATTTGTAAGCCTTACTAATCTCATGTTTCTGAATGGGCAGCCTGAGACCTCTTTTCCCACATGGTGATGACATAAAATGAGTAGCCCACGCAATAAGTGTGAATGATGTAACCTAGGAGAAAATAGCTGAGGGAATAGTTTCCAAGCCCCGGTGACCTGACCTCCACTGTTGAGGGGGAACATGTGGACTACTGGTCTTAAACTAAAGCTCCAATGGTTCCACTGGTGTTTAGGGGCTTTAAGAGCATCCGGTATATGTGCATAATCCCATAGTGTCCTAAGTGTTGATATAATGTCATTGAAAGTCTGTAACAGTGCTCCCTCACCCCCTGGAAAGAGCCGTAATAAATGATGCTGACCTGACGATGATCCCGAGGGATCAAGGGTCTAGACCAAAGATTCTCAAAGTTCTCACAACAAGTGCAGCCTCAGAAAGTAATTTGATTTCTTGGTATAATCTATGTGAAATTAAACGTTTTCAGTCCAAACCAGATCAACAAAACACCTTGCTACGCTGCAGCTGATGTCGTCAACATTCCCTGGCTGTGTTGAAGCTAACTGAAAGCACTGCTCTGTTTAGAAGATCTGTTACTCATAAACTTAATCTGATCTTTATTTGAACACAATCTGACCAGAAAGAGCTGGCTTGGTTGTAACTAGAACTGGTGATCTGATTTGTGCTGTTAAACAAGTCTCACATACATACAATTACAGTCACAAGCTAGCTAGCATAAGGCAACAGTTTTTCAGTTACTCCCACATTTTTGTTAAAAATGAAACACCTAAACAGGACTATGAATGCTCATATTGGTCATAGGCTCCTGAAAATGTGTTGTTTAAATCTATTTTGTGTTTTTTTCTTTTTTCATTTTCAGATGCATCTCGTTGCATCTCTAATTCTGGAATATTTAGAACAGCCCCAGTATGACGCCAAGTACCAATAGACAGAAACTTCTAATGGATCTAAACCAAGACCTAAACCAGATTACAACTCCACTGAAATTCTATCACGAGTTTAGAGCGGGTAAGAGGTAAGAATACCTGAGAATTACTTCTAAACCAAGATTTAATAAGGTCTAAAATAGGTCTTAGTCACTCCAAGTGCACAATGTAACTTTTCTGGTAGAAGTTCTGCCACCTGCTCGCTGACTTGACGTCATTTAAATGTTTTTGTTTTGCCTGGAATGTTCCACAGCATGGCATTACACCATCTTGCTAATAACAGGTTTACAGCCAGCAGCACCTTGAAAAACTTACTGTAGAAGAAGCTACCTTATTGTGTTCATGGAAATAAGTACTATAAGCATTGAAAGAAAAGCAATAGTGGCAGGTAGCAGGCTCTACACTGAAAAAGATACATAGTGCACCTGTAAACCAGATATTAAAAAAACAAGACAAATGCCATTAAGGACAATTTTAATAATAAATGTAATCTAAACAAAGAATAAAACATGTCTAAAAGTAAAATAAAAATAGTAAATTATAATTAAACCAGGAATATAACCATAAAACCACATTAGGTTATAAATAAGTACACTGGGGGTGAATTTCAAAAGCCCATTTGAACACTTCGTATCACTGTTACCCCATTATAGTTTGAGACTCTAAGCTGTAGCAGAAGATACAGCTCTGTTTTAACTATTTGAGAGGCATATTCCAGGAGGCAGATGTAAGCTTGTGCACAGAACAAAGCAGCCGAGGAAGAGACAATAAGTGGCTCTGGCGAAGATTACTTTTTCACTACGAAAGAGAGGATGAAAAGATAAAAAAGAATATAGCATCCCTGACAGTGGACAGAGGGGATATTTTAGTAGAGGAGAACCAACACCAAAATGGTCAAAAACTCCAAAAGAAAAATAGTTGGAGTTCATTGAGTGGGGTAGAGTAAGTGTGAAAGCATCTTAGACTACCCAGGATGAAAGGGGGAATCTTCACTTCAGACAACACAAAACATAAAACTATTTTTCTATCTCAAAGAGCTTCTGGCTAACATCCAAAATATGAAGAATCGGTAACATTGTGGATACTGCTTATAGGTGGGCGTGCCTTTAAGAAATGAAATGAGAGAAATAATATAGTGAATGCTGTATTAACAATAATACAATGGGAATATTGAGTATATTGTTGACTATTAAAAACTAAAACATGTTGAAAATGGTTGATTAACAAGTCCTATATTAGGACTCTTGTGAAGTTTAACCCTATTATTAGTCATTCTACATCTCCAAAGCTCAAAATTCTCTTTTCCACCTTCTGATCTCATGAAGTGGTAGCGTTTACATTTTATTCAGTAGAGATCGGCAATCCAGGGCTGAAATGATCCAAATGATTACAGTGAAGATGTATAGAGTATAAAAACACAGTGGAGCACTTCCTGTATTACCATATGACATCACAAGGTGGAACAGAGTGTTTTCTGTTTGAGAAAAGAACTCTAAATATGCAGGGTTTGTGTGTTAAATGTTTGTGAATGAAACGAAACACAACTCCAGGTATGTTTGTGATGAGGAAACAACATTATAACTAGGGGTGTCAAATTATCGCGTTAATTGCGATTAATTAATTACAGTCATATTTAGCGTGTTATGTTTTTTAATCGCGTTAATCTCATTTTTAATCTCTAACTTTACTGTTACTGTATGCGAGTAGCTTTATTATAAAATCTGTATTTATGTGTTGTTGGGACAACAACACACACACACACAAAAAAACACATTTATAATTTTTTTTATTTCGGTAATTCCACTCATTGCCGGAAAGCCGCACAAAACGCGACGTAAACGTCATGTTAACGTTGGTGCCGACAGTCGCACAATGGACGAGGTCGAAGAGCCAGTAGAACAGAGTCAGCAGTGCACAGGTAAAAACACATTCGTGTCTTGGAAATTATTCTCCCGACGTGAAATGTAAAAGAAAATAACAAATATAAAATCGCCTACAACGTAAATGTCACTGGTGAAAACAACCTGCATAGGGTCATGATGTCTGCACTACTGTCCTATAGTGACCTGCCACATGAGGGGACACGCACACAAACACACACAAACACACACAAACACAAACACACACCTTCATCATCGTCATTAACCTGAGAACACGCTGACCACGTTTCCTTCCGTAGTTACAGACACCGCTGTCCTCCCGCGCGCCACGTACGTTTTCTCGCATAAGCTGCGTAAACCGCGCTTCCTCCTCTGTGCCTCTAAACCAGAACTAACACCAAGACTAAAACTGGGACTAACCCAGTCCAGGACTAAACCAGGACTAAACCAGGTCTAAACCAGGACTAAACCAGAACTAAAACCAGAACTAAAACCAGGTCTAAACCAGGTCTAAACCAGGACTAAACCAGAACTAACACCAGGACTAAAACCAGGACTAACCCATTCCAGGACTAAACTAGGACTAAAGTAGGACTAAAGCAGGTCTAAACCAGGACTAAAACCAGTGATCTCATATATAAAGCATTTCTCTATCAATAATATTTTTAATATGGTTAAGGAAAGACTGGACTTTTTATTGTCTTTAAGTAGACAAAAGTTATTATGTTCAGATTTCCTCGTCTTTGCTACTTTACAGCAAAAACTTTCTTATTCATGGAGACTTGGGCTCAACAGCCAATTTGAAGAGAACAAACAAGAACAACATTTGCAGGATGCAGTTGCTACATTCATGTCGTTTTAAAAAACATGACAATATCAAGTAATCCAAAGTATTCAAATTACGTTACTCACTTTAAGTACTTAAATGGATTAAGTTACAAACTACATTTTGGGATATGTAATCTGTAATCTGTAGGGGAAAACATTTTAAAAGTAACCTTCCCAACACTGCAAATTAGTAATAGTAATAATAATGATGATACTGTGGAATGTAAGTGACTGCATCTGTTAAAGTTTGTTAAACAATAAATGACTTTATAAAGTCACTTTTTTACCTCCGCCAAGGAGGTTATGTTTTTGCCGACGTTTGTCTGTTTGTTTGTTTGTTTGTCTGTTAGCAACATAACTCAAAAAGTTATGGACCGATTTTGATGAAATTTTCAGGATTTGTTGGAAATGTGAAAAGGAAGAACTGATTTCATTTTGGGGGTGATCCGGAAGAAATCCTGGATTCTGGATCACTTTGAAATTTTAGTTATCATTGTGGTAAATGGGGCCAAAAATTTTGTTTCTCAATATCTCGGTTAATTATTGACCAAACCCCATGAAATTTGACTCAGGGATGGACAATGGAATCCTCTTTCAAGGCTGATCCGGATCTGATCCAGAAGACTGATTTTATCGCAATTTATATAAAAAATGGGGGTAGTCCTTGGCGGAGGTCTGCGCTCTCTGAGTGCTTTTCTAGTTTTGTTCTATATCAGTCTTTTGATCTGCCACAATAATGTAATAATTAATTTAAATGAAAATACCTCAGATTGAAGGCTTTTCTCAGCAATTTTTAGGTGAGATTAAAAAGAGATTAATTTGATTAATTAATTACAGATCATAATTAATTAATCTCTCAATTTTTTTAACAGCACTAATTATAACATAGCTCAGCAAACAAAGGAATATGGGCGCTTTAAATAAAAATGAAACAAACTTATGTTATTTGTCAAACAAGGATTTAAAGTGACATTTCTGCACTTTCTTTGGGTAAATTTATTTTACTTTTACCTAAACCTCAACTAACATATTTGAAGACATGTTTATACACTTCTGAGTTTGTTATTGGAAAACCAAAAAAAAAAGAAAAGAAAAAAAAACCCTGCACAATGTTGACGGAGAAGTCATGCAGACAAGCTTAATATGTAATGGCATCCTCTTTGTGGTATTACAAATGCTAAGCCGTAAAGTTACCGCTGAATACCGATGAGACAGGCTGAAAATGACGGTATGGACAAAAACACATCTACTGTATATGGAAAACCCTTTAGTGTAGCAGTACAAGTAGTCATTATAGTGTGTTGTGATATATACTGGAATATCTGGTACATTTGCTGAGACAGAAAGAATGCACCAAAGAACCCAGGGGAAAAATAAATAAAATCAGCTTCTAGGCAGGTCACTTAAAGGTCCAACATTATACAAAATGGCTTCTTGTGAGCTTTAAGCTGTGTTAGAATGTCGTTACCTCCTCAAAACATACCTGGAGTTGTGTTTTGCTTTATTCACACATGTTAGAGTAACCCATCACTAGTCTGTCCACATTGCCCAAGGTCAAAATGTTCTGTTCCACCTTGTGATGTCAGGTAGTGGTAACAGCTACCTTTTTACATTTAGTTCAGTAGAAATGGCCAGTTCCAGGGCTGAAATTATTCAAATGATTCTAGTGAAAGTGTATAGACATTAGAAACACAGGTGGAGCAGTATTCTCAGCTTGAGAGAAGAAATGGTTTGAGGGAACAACATTATAACATAGATCATAAAGTAGCGTAATGTGGGCCCTTTAAAACATACTGGCACACTGCCCATTCATATAAACTGCCTCTTGTATATGTTTCATAGTTTATAGAAGTGCACTTAATGCCTCACAAAAAGGGCACCTTTGGGATATAATGGCATAGTTCAATTTTAAACAGGACCAAACAATAAGGAACATGTGCTTTGAGTATGGGTCAAAAATATATAATATTTTTATTTAAACGTTTTTGATCATTTGCTCATTTTTCATCCCTAACAAAAAGAATAAGACACATTTAAATATTTCACACCTGCTAGCTGCCCTAAGAAGAATTAAAACTAATTGTGCGTAACAGCTAATGCTATAGCAACAGGGTACTTCAGTGACTTTCAAGGTAAAATGTAAGAGCCATTTTAGCCTGTAAGAGCCTTTTCTCATCTGCCTCCAAATGTACTCTACGTAATGTTAAACCCACAACCAGCTTGCAGTAAAACTTCATTTGATCTGTCACAGCATCTATGTACCTATAGGGAAATATGACTTAAAGATGCACTGTGTAACTTTTTGGTTGGGGGTCCCTCACCTGCTTGTTTTTATATAGATGTCATTGCTCTGCCTGGCATGTTCCACAGTATGACTTTAAACAGCTCTACCTTACATTTATTCAATTACAGATAGTTTTTATAGCTCAAAAATACCTAGAAAAACAGACACTCTGAGTCTCCACAGATCTGACCTGTAACATGGTCTGATTTGGTCTCCATAAAGATATAAAGGTGTAAAAGCATACTGTGAAACATTCCAGATGATGCAGTAACATCTCCATGGAGAAAAATATCTGACGGACCCTCCAATACACCTTTAACTTGTACAAAGACAAAGGTATAAGAGTAGAGTGTGTATATTCTAACTATAAAACACAATGAATAACACATAAGATATGACTTAAATAAAGGTTGCATAAAATATTACCATCATTGTAAATACTTAACTGACATGGATTTCTAGTTTGAAAATCCAAAGACTTAATTAAATAAACACAATGAAAATCGTGATACAGAATATTAATCAGAGACAGCTTAATGACCAAGGCTCAATTACATTTGATCCGTGGGAATACAATGAAATAAAAAATTATATTTCCTTACCACCAGAACGAGGATCATAGGACCTTGGTAGATGTAGTCTGTATAGACGCCAGGCCGTTTCCCAAACCAGCACCTGAAATGTCAAAGGACTCATAACTAACTGCAATAAAATGAGGATTATGTTGTCAATCATCTCTTCATAATAGAGATGTCCCCTGTGAGCTTTCAGTGTGAAGCCATGCTTGCTTATGGACTTGGGGTGTACATATAGAAGTGATAGAAAAATCTCAGGTATGTTTGCTGTTAAACAAAGTAAACTATTGGTAGTTAGTTTACACATTTTTCTGTAATTATTATTCAGATTTTATTACTATTCTATTCACTCTATGTAATTGTTTTTATTCTGAAATGTACGTCCAAGTATTTCGCTCCTGGGGTTGTTGGTTTAACTCTTGGTTTAACTCTTAAACTCTTGACTTCGAACTTCAAATGAACTGTTTGAAATTAATTTGTACGTATAGTGAGTGTGTTGTATGTGTAGTGAGTATGCTGGTGTTATGTACTCTTGTGTGATTGTTGTTGTACTTTTCTCTGTCCTGTAGATGATTTTACATCAAGCTGCCGAGGGACTGAAGATGGAAATTAGCCACGCTGGCTATAATCTTTACATATTTACATTTTTAATGTTCATTAATATGTGCTGTCCCTTTACAAATAAATAAATAAGAATAAGAATACTGGATTAATAAAGCTTCTTTAAGTCGATCCATTTGCACCAATGCATTCTTCCCTCAGCACAAGAATACAAAAATCACTGACTCTGGTTGTGGGAATGCATATGTTTATACTACAGATAATTCAAAATACAAAGAATTATACAACTATAATGGACATACAGTATAGCCTCACGGTCTAATTGAACCCAAATTGGACCCTCTTCCTATTAATTTATATTAGAGGGGGGCCCATGTGAGGCTTCTTGCCCTGGCCCCCAAAAATTCTGTTGGCGGCCTGAGAATATTACTATAACATATACTAGCATACGACTACTGAAACAAACTTTCATCTAGTTCATTTGTAGAACATTAGCATTATAAAGTGTTTTTTAATGATTTTTTCCATTAATTTCCATCAAGGCTTGAGTAAATATGTGTTAATGTGTAATTTATAATCATGGACTCCGATAACGTGATTACAGCAATTATTAATAGTCGTTCATCTTTATAATACTACAGCTTGACTTTGTGTTTTGTCCTTTTGCTTCTTGGCCAAAAATAGAACAACCCCTCCCCTTTCCCCAATCAATAACTTGAGTCACAACAAGCATCTTACTTCTCATTATCGTAGTAGAGCTTCCCAATGGCCCAGGCCACAATAATCGGGAATGGGATACCTGTGGGCAACAAAAAGATACAATTTCACTTTTTTGTTCCTTCTTTCATCTTTTGAGCTGCTATTCAAAGCCCGAATTATCACTCGGGGGGATTTCGAGTGAGAGATCTACAATGTCCCACCAACCCCTGCCAAGCTCTGTCAGAAGTAATTTTTACGTCAATGTACTGAGGCAGAGATTCAAGCCAGAACCTGTCACCGTCTTGATATTCTTTTGTTGAATGTATGAATAGCTAGACTCTGCTTGACGATAATGTGGAGTGATTTACACATTTACTTGACTTATAAGGGGTTTAATAAGATAGACCTAATTCAATTACTCCAGTCTAAAAGAGGAAGCCCTTTGCCAAGTTTGTGCAATGTATGGTGTTATTTGAAACTGTCCTAACTATTTAGTAGATAGGTGAATGTCCGTTGCAGTGGTGCCAATGAAACAAAAGGGTGACTCATACGATTATAACATCTGTGTCCATCCAACAGTCTCTCCACACACCAAGCAAACGGGCTCTGAGCACACCAGCACACTACCTAGCTCACTGTGTATCAAACTCTAACAGCCACTTTTATTAAAATCATAAAATAGATAATTAAAGTAAAGACTCCACAAGTGTTTTTAAATATAGACGACTTCAGTTTGCGGTGTTGTTTAAATATTTATTATGCCTCAAGATTAGCATTGTCCTCGGGTGAAGTATTCGTTGTATTTGTGTACTTTTTAACATGTTGTCAGTGCCTTCTCTTTAAATATTTATTAATTTTAGCAATGCTCAGCAAAAAAAACACACATTACACAATTGGACAGGAAGTAGTGGCATTAACAGTGTGGTTGCTGGGTGTTGTTGTGCACAGAGACTACTATTACAACAACTTTTTTTTTTTTAATTCTTCTTTCAGACATAAACAGCCATTTCATCTTGACAGTTGAGATTGCCTGTGAAATCATCATTCTTATCAACATGATTACTAAAACTTTAATTAAAACCAGCTGAATAGTTTTCACAGAGGTTTTGAATCATTCTTTGAAATCCAACTATAACATGAGATGTGTTACAAGTAAAACTACATTTCTAAAGCAGGCTTTCCCAAACTGTGGTACAGGAACGCCGGAGGCTATTTTTAGTGGGACCTGCAGGTGTAGCTTTGTTAAATGTTTTCACCTTTTGACATTCTTCATTTCATTTAGGCCATGGTATAATCCTGTTTCAGACATGAATTCGCCCTAGTGTAAACTTGGTTAGTCTTGTTATAAACCTGATTAAGATGGTAAATAAAGTCATACACAGACATTAGTGAATTCCAAATTATTCTGTGTTTATTTTCTAAAATAGCACTTCATTTTTGTATCAGAATTAGTATAGAGTATCAAGCTGCATCAACTAAATTTTTACAAAAATTTAAATTGTATATATATAGGCCACAACTGAATATAAGCCGCAGGTGTCCACGTCTTCAAGAACGTTATCAAGGGGCGTCTGCTTTTATCACCTCTGAAAGCTTTTGTTGTCTTTTTGCATTGAGTCGGTCCATTACACCTACTGAAGTTTGAGACGTATCTTCTCGTCATTTATGCCCACACGGGTAAGACGTATCCCCCTCACTACTGTTCATTTAGCATCATAACTGATTTTATCACACGGCAATAAACTGAGTGCACAGACAATATTGCTAGCTAGTCTAGCAGCTTCATGTGAACCCTAGATCCATGTGTAACCACACAGACAGCGGCGTTTTCTGCACTCAAGCTGCACGTATCCGCTGTGTTGCCAAACTATAGACCATATATATGAATGGACAATGTGCCAAACAAAGAATCCGTCCATTCATTAGCCTCATTGTTTTATTAGCCGCAGGGTTCAAAGTGTGAGAAAAAAAGTAGCAGCTTATAGTCAGTGTATTTTTTGGTAGATACTATGTTTAATTCTAATTCATTATCAGATTTTTTTCCCTCAATTTAATTTCTTTCACTAGTTTTACATAGAAATCTGAAAATTATTTTGACATTAATGTCATTATACAAATACAAAAGCACTACTATTCCATAAAGAGTGTTGTGTTGTTTTTATCTTATTAATGTCTCCACTCTTTCATCTTAAAACCTCAGTCAAGCAAATAAAACTTAATCTTTTTCACTTCAGAAATATGCTGCCATTTTGTCTTCACAGTTGAGGCTTCACGCTGCCCTGGGGAAATGTAATCCAGCTGGCACAATACAGCTAATCTGAACACCACATAGTTTAGTTTGACAGTGTGAAAAGGGGTGTTACTGAACTCACCACACCAATGCAGATCTCAGCTGTCACTCGCACAAAATCCACCATATAGTCCTTTCACATTCACTCAAGACTTATAGGGAACTCGTTGCATAGGTCCAACTGTTTGGCACTTGCTTAGGTTGTCTAATATAATGATGGATAGGAATAAGATTTTCCAGTAAATAGTAGTAATAGTAATAGTACATTGCATAATCGGTGCAGCTGCATGGAAAAAATCAATCATAATTATCTGGGTCACAATTGAAATCACACATGTTCTTTTGAAACTATAATTTATGTACTGTCAAAAGTTAAACTGTTAACGTATCATTTATTTTGTAATTTTTTGTCATGTTTTTCAAGATGGTGCAGAGTAGTTGTGCTTAAGGTTTTGTGGGGCAAAACATGCACCCATATCACTCAGAAATTATAATTTTTTTGTCAATTACACATTTTGGTAAGTGATTGGAGCAGTAAATGTCATCTAAATTATCTTAATGGCACAGTTTTTAACTGTCTACTCTGATTCACCAATTCATCTTAACATTCATTTTTAGACCTTCTTTTGCCCTCCAGTATCTTACGGGGACAACTATCTTTTTTTTGTTATGTTGTTGAGACTGTCCAGATTGAATTATTATTCTTCAAGTAATCACACGTGTACAAATAATTATGACATTTTGAGCAACAACAAAATCTTAATTTAATGTGTGATTTTAAGCTCAAAAAAGAAAGACAGCAGGAGTCTAAGTCAATCACGTCTTACACCAAAAATGAAAAACATGTATTAGGAATTTTAGTTTTGTTTTTGGTTTTAACAATCACGACAATTGCTTCAAGCTTCAACACCTTTTCAATCACCTTCTAAAACTCAACCACTGGTAAAATAGTTTCTTCTTGAATTGCTGACCCTAATTTCCATTGTATCATCCTAACAAATAATTAAAAAAAAAAAAAAGTAGAGGAGGTACGTACACCAGCCGATGCAGATAAACATCCATTTGCGCAGTTTATCTGTGGAGTAGGTCAGCACAATGGCGGTGTGGAGGTAGCAGCCTTCTCCAAACATCCAAAAGAAATTGGTGGAGTGGAAATAATTGAAGCAGGCAATGACCATACGACACCAGACCTACAAGGAGAAAACACTCATCAGAGGCTTTGTTCATTAGCAAGACAAGATTACAGTTCCTGACAAGTGAAGGGAATAACCCACAGTGGCTCTTTATCAAAGCACATGTGAGTGGGTGTGACAGGCAGACAGCGAGCACAAGGTACTTGATATTATACAGAGAAAATAATGTGGGAAAAGTTTCAAGGGATCATATTATGTTATTTTGTAATCTTGTTTCCTCATCACAAGCACACCTGTGTTTTGTTTCATTCCCACATGTTTAACACAAACCCTGCATATTTAGGTTCTGCTCTCATACATTCTGTTCCACCTTGTGATGTGGTAATATAGGAAGTGCTCCACTGTGTTTTTAAACTTCATACACCTTCATGATCTGGATGATTTCAGACCTGGAACTGACCATCTCTACTGAACTAAAGGTCGCTGTTTATTTGAAAACTGAAATCAGAGAAGCCAGGCTTTTGTTTTAGCTAATTTCACTGAATACCCCCCTCATAGCTAATTTTGATAAATATTATTGATATAGTACTGAGTTTGACAGTAAAGTAACACAGTAATTGTAGTTTTTGCATATAAGGTTTCTAATTCTAGACAAGTTATGGTGCCATAATTCATTGGTGTGATTTCATATTTGTTATTTTTTCAGTTATATATAAATGCCAAACATATGGAAATACACTTCAGTGAGAGTGATCTCTTCATTAAGTAAAATCAGCTTGTTTTTGCCAGAAACATCTTATGTTTTCAACACATTTCTGAAAACAATCGATCCTTAAAATACGATAATATCAGACTCAGGATCTGCATTGCGCGTTTATATAAATACCTATAAGGTCAGTGTTTTTATATGTGGTTTTGAGTAATGGTACATTTAATTTTTAATCATTACCACCACTTACCTGTCAAAGTAACTATTTTAGTGTAATATTACCAAATCAGATTATTTATTTAAATCAAATTACAACTTTTCTGTTAAAATTGGCTTCTGTCATCTGAAGTTTTAATATCTAATTTATGTTTGATGAATCACGGCCATAATTCACTCAACAGATTTGCGTTTGTGAACTGTTCACAAATACCTTGCATTCACTCAGACAGTTCACTGCCAGCTTACCTCATTTCACTTCGCACTAAAATATTGATTCTTCAAAGTGGGTATCTTTTATTAAACACACATGGTGGGAAACTGACCATGCGTCCTTAAATGCCTTGTTTGCCAAACTCGTAAATTTCTCATATTAACCTTTTTAGTAATATATTTAATTATTTTTATTTGGGCCAATGGTGGTTGTATGCGTTACTTTTGTCATGGAAATAATTTTTCTTGCAATTATCAATTTCCGAAGCTTTGTGAGTTATGGAATAAAAAACAGGTTTATTCTTTGCTGCAACAAATATGGCCAGGACAGGGCCTGGGAAGTGCTGGCCAGACACTGCCAGCCTCCTTTATCCAACATCATACATTACAAAGTGAATGGGTGGGTCGCATGGTTGGGTGTGACCAGGAAGCTCCTGATGACAATCACATGGTACATTTCAATGGAGAGAGATCTGAAAGCTTTCAGATCTGAAAGACAGATCTGATTGTATCGATCTGTAAATACTATTGATATATCTGAAGAGATTAACAAACAAGCTGCAACAAATAGGTGTTACATGAAAGGTTTTCTAGAAAGTCCATAAACCAAAATTATTCTAAAGATATAACCTAGTAGTTTATTTTCCATTACACTTTGAAGGGCCCATATCACACTGTTTCTGATCTCTGTTACAATGTTGCTTCCTCATAACAAACATGTCTGGAGTTGTGTTTTATTTCTTTCACACAAAAAAAACTCTGCATATTTAGGCTGAGCTCTTCTCTCAATTAAAAACACTCTGTTCCACCTTGTGATGTCATGTGGTAATACAGGTAGTGCTCCATTATGTTTTAAACTTCATACCATTTCACTAGAATAACTTGGATAATTTCAGACCTGGAATTGTCCCTCTACACTCAGCCTACTACTACATGACATCACAATGTGGAACAGAACATTTTGATCTTTGGAGATGTAGACAGATTAATAATACAGTGTGTGAATGAAACTAAACACAACTCCAACTATGTTCTTGATAAAGTAACATCATTCTAACATGGTTTAAAGCTCACAACAGTAAATTTAGCATGATATAGGACCTTTAATTCTGTCCATCTAGCTAAAATATAGCATCATCTTGAGGATTTGGTTGTTAAATAACAAAAATGTTGACTTGCACAATTTGATGTTCTATATAGTTCATATAACCTCTGTGCTTAATTTTACAGGGGAAAAATTGTAACATGTCCCTACCTCTTATCCACTGGTTATCAAGCTTTTTAAAAGTTGGACAAAAATAAAATATAAGTTGTATTTGGTTGGTAATTTGGTATAAACAACTTGAAATGACTCAAAGAATAGGACCTGAGTCAGTCTTGTGGGCCACTGACTTGGGATTTGACTCCGATTTTGAGGTCAAAGATTTGGGACTAGCAAAACAACAAGGTCTTGATCACTGTGTTAGCATCATATTTCAAAACTATTGTTCACTTTGATATACTGTATTACATATCAGTGTAAACAATTTAAAATGCCTGACCCCCTTAAAATGTACAATATGCTCTGTACATCTGATCTTATGTATTTCAAATAGGTTTTCCCCTGTAGGATGCAATGAATGACTGATGTTTAAGTGCACCAACACCCTTTTCAATTTGTAATCCGCCTGGGACCGATCTCACAAAGGCAGATAACATGACATAAGATAATGCATAACTAGTTCATATACAGTGGGCTATTGTGATGTCCCTGACTGGGATATTGTATGGAAAACTCATATTTCGTATGTGCTTCCTTCCTGTGTAATCGGATGCTGGCGACCTACCACATTGCTTTCGTGCACCTCCGGACTCATGGTCAGTTGCATAATGAACCAGGTAGCGTTCCTCAGGATAAAGGCTGTGATGAGGTTCCAGTGGATGATGTTTCTCAAACAGCGAATGCTCCTGTAAGAACCAAGCAAGGATTAACATATTTACACCAACTCTCAGGTTTCTGACTGTGGTGACTTCATGCTATGTTTAGAAGTATTGATCTCATGGGTCAAGGGTCAGGTCTAGCCTATTCATAGGTTTCACTGACATCACCTCTGTCTGTGTCTTGAAGGACTTTTTCAAGATCATTTAACCTCTGAAAACATATATCCTGATTTGCAGTGTTGCGAGCAACACATTATAAAAGTAACAAATTACTGTCGTGTGTTGCTTTTTGCTATAACGCAGTAATGTTCGGCATTACAGGAAAAAAAAGGTAATATTTTACTTGGTACAAATGTCAGTAACACGTGTCACAATGCATTTTAACCTGGATTGAAGTGGTGGGTTTTTTTGTTTTTCTTCATACAAATTTGCTTAAATCACCGCAATATCAGCAACGGTGAAATGCCATCATTACGGTTCTGAATGTCGGGACAGGCCCGAAGGTGTATCTGTGAAGACTGTCGGGTAACCGCGGGTGAATGGACCGGCACAGAGCTCCATGCTCCACAGGGCTAATAGCAGCTGGTGCCCGATTGCGTTTTGCGGACACCCTGCTTCACGGGCTCGGGGTCCTAGATTCCAAGTCCAAGATTAGTCCTGATTTAGACCTGGTTTAGTCCTGGTTTAGTTCTGGTTTAGTCCTGGTTTAGTTCTGTTCTAGGCAAAGCTTATGCAGAGGACCTTTTCATGGTAACTTAAAGCAGCTTAACAATTGTGTAACATAAAACAAGGACAGGACAGACAAAGCAAGTAGTGAGGATGCAGTCATACTGTATGTGGGGGTTATAGGCTATGAGGAAAAGATGAGTTTTGAGCAGTTTTTTTTTTTTTCATGTAGAGCGAGTTAATATGAACATGTTAAGACCAAAATGATGACGCTCACTGCAGCACTTAAAGAGAGAGGGGTGACAATTTTTCAAAGTAAATGTGGAAAAGTGGAGCCAGTCGATGGAGTCAGAAGCGTGTGAAGGGGGAGAGCTTTGGGTCCCCGTGCCTGGATTTGACTGTGGGCGTGAGGAACTTAACTTAATCCCTTCCTATAAAATGTATGTTTTCCCAGTTAAGTTTTGAATACAGTATTGCAGAATCACAATTACATGTGAGAGTTTTAAAATTTGTTTTTCATTCAGATTATTATTCTTGACTGACCTTTCATAAAAGTCGTATCTTTATCTGAGCATAATATTTTCAGTTCCTGTATATATGTGAGCAAAAGCATAACGTTCTTAACGGAATTTATGAAACATTGTCAAAATGGCTGCATAATCACTTTAATCTGTCAGTCTAGCAGCGTGCTTTACAACAGATGGCCTGATAGCACTGGCCTTTTGTCAAATGAAAAGTGAGAGGCTTGCTAATAAACTTAACAAAGTGCTGTGCTAGCTCTAATTTAAGCTTTTCTTTTAGCTCAGTCGGCTAGATTTGTTAGTTTTATCGTGCATACATTAATAATCTTCTGTTCATTAACTGGAGTTCCTGCGGTAATGAAAAGTACCCACAGAAAATATCCTAGACTAGTGTTATTACAACAAGCACTTCAAATTCTACTCTGATACTAAAGAAAATACTTGATACTCAATACTGATACTCAATACTGATACCACAATGATAATTAAAAATCCACATTTTCAAGAGAGCTTAACAACAGCTTTATGTTAACATATCAAGTTTGTGCTTGTTCTGATGTAGATGAAAAGGACATTTAAAAACTAAGGAGGAAATGTCAAATTGTGTCACATGTATTTTGTCGTACTGAAACCTGTTTATGATCTAGTTTTAATACTAGTTTCAGTATTGATATGTAGGGATGTGCAAAAATATCAAAATATTGATATATCGTATCGGTTAATGTGATGATACAGTATCGATATTGTGGGCTGCTGCATCGATATATCACCAAGAGTATTTTTTGGTATATTTTACTAAATCATTTTGTTACAGCGCTCCAGTTTTGTTCAGAGGAAGGAAACTCTTTTATGTGACACATTTGTCATTTTCACTGTTCTGATGGTTATAATGTTTGTGTTTCATATTAACTTTGCACAAGAAGTGTTTTAACAAAGACATTTAGTATCACAGCAATCATTTAGCATTTATTTTTTATTGAACCTTATCGAATCGATTTCAAATTTAACGTATCTAATCGAAAGTGCACTGTATCGAGGTATGTATCGTATCGTGGCATGTGTATCGAGGTATGTATCGTATTGTGGAATGTGTATCGAGGTATGTATCGTATCGTGGTATGTGTATCGAGGTATGTATCATATCGTGGCCTGTGTATCGATATATGTATATTATCATGGTATGTGTATCGAGGTATGTATCGTATCGTGGCCTGTGTATCGAGGTATGTATCATATCGTGGCCTGTGTATCCAGGTATGTATCGTATCGTGGCCTGTGTATTGAGATATGTATCATGTCATGGCCTGTGTATCGAGATATGTATCGTATCATGGTATGTGTATCGAGGTATGTATCGTATCGTGGTATGTGTATTGAGGTATGTATCGTATCGGCAATTTCTTAATGATACCCAGCCCTATTGATAAATATCTGGGTATCAATTACCGTATGTTAACAATCCTATTTCAGAATCTGAGGGAACCTGAATATTGTGTGTTTGTGTGTGTGTTTGTGTGTCTGCTCCATCTCTGAATGTCTCTCGCCTCTTTTCACCCCAGTTTCCGCCAACCTACTGTGCTGTCCATAAACAGCTGAGACATCAAGGTACATATTAATAAAGCAACTACGCAGTACTTTTAGAACTGCAGTCTTGAGCATGACAGGAAACCACAGTGTACCCACAGCAATCTATGATCTACATGTCTTTGCTTTTTGCACATTTCATAATACAACCGCAATAACAAAAATGGTACAGCATAACCTCATTTCAGAGGTTTTGCATGCATGATAAAGGGCTGCTATGCTCCTTGTATTGTAAGCTACATTTATCAGAAGCCATTTGAAACTATAAAAGCTATAAAAAGTACAAATCAGTTCAGTTCTCATTATAGGATTTGATAATATCATAAATTTAGATGGAAGGCAGGGAACTATAACTCTTTATAACTCAGTCCCAAGACAACATTTTTCCATGGGAGACAATAAAGGATTCTCTAATCTTTATGTGAGAGACTATTTTTAAAATATCCTTACATTATCCTTACATTTTTGAAATATGATCTTAATCCTGAAACAATCATGTCAAGGTGATTGCATAATTGTGGGAAAATGTTTATGTATGAGCTAGTTTATGTGCGTAGGCCTGGACCCTACATGTAAATGGACATAGCTAACTTGATAGTCACTGCATTTTGAATAGGAAGTGAGCATGGGTTCACTGCTGGCTTCTTTGACTCTGGCTCCAATTGACTTCACTTGAAAAATGGTCACCTCTCTCTCTGCTGCAGTGAGCTTTGTCATGTTGGTCTTAAAATGTTCATATTAACCCGCTTTAAATGATCCTGGTGTTTTTACTTCTCTATTTTGTCCACGAATACATTCCTATTCTTAATATAAAACTGGTTCCAAATTTGCTCCTATAACTGCAGCATTGTGAGCTTCTTTTGACTGGAGCTGAATGCTACGGGTGACGTCACGCTCCCTTAGTTCACTTTACACAGTCTATGGTAATTACAGAGATATCAGCCATAAACCAGGTCAAAACATCTGCAATGTGACAATTTAAAGGCAAATTGAACTGTTCTGACCTGCTCTCCACTTCATTTTAAGATAAAATTCTCCTCAAATATGGACTGAAAAGAGGTTAGTTAATTAACCACGTTCTTTTCTGATATGCCCCATGGTGAAATTGAGTTTGACACCATAGTGACTGGGTCAGTCGGAAGCTGCGTCACTGTGGAGCAATAATGAAGAACAAATGAATGACACAAAGGCATTACGAGCTAACTCTTTTACCCCACAGGCCATTCCACTATGAGATCTCTGTCGGTAATCTCAGAAAATAAGCGAGCAGAAAATGAAGACGACTATGAATTATGAATGTACTTCAGAAAACATCACTCCCCCACATGTAGGGACATTTGTTTCAGTTCCTGTTATTGTCTTGTCCTCAAATTTAGATGTTTTTTCAAGCCTGTAAATATGCTATCCCTGGGAATTAAAGGGCCCATATTACGCTATTGTCTGATCTATCTTATAATGCTGTGTCCTCATCAAAAACACACCTTTGTTTCATTCACACATGTTTAATACACAAATCCTGTACATTCAGGAGTTCTTCTATCAAATTCTACTACACCTTGCATGTCATGTGGAGATACAGGAAGTACTCCACTGTGTTTTTAAACTCCATACACCTTCACTAAAATAATTTGGATAGTTTCAGCCCTGGAACTGCCAGTCTGTACAGAACAAAAGGTAAAAGGGAACTGTTAACTTGAAAACTATCACTTCATGACATCAAGGTGGAACAGAGTATTTTGAGCTTTGGAGACGTAGACAGACTAATGTGTGTGAATGAAACAAAACACAACTCCAGGTATGTTTCTGAGGATGTAGCAACATTATAACATGACCTAAAGCTCACAAGGACCTTTAATAATTCCAATAGATATTATATTAATTGGTAATACCTGTAGAAGATGGTAACAAAAAGAAAAAATGGGGATATCTGTTTTTGCAGTTGAACTCTTGATTGTTCCTGGGATACACAGTTAAAGGTAAAGGTACAGTATTGGAGATGTGTGTTTGAAAATAGCAGCAGCTCTATTGAATTATCATGCAGACAGTGACAGACCTGCTTGTTGTCACCCACATTAAGAGCCTTCTCCCTTCACTAACTCTGAATGACGGTGATTTATATTTTAACGCGCATCAATACTTTATCTGTACCGCTCTGCGCTGTTGTTTCCTCTTTTCTTTGTCTTTATTGTCCTTGTAAATGTAATAACAAAATGTCACTGTTCAAAGGACTGCTGGATAATGAAAAAAACATTTACAATTACATACTGTACATACAGACGAAGAGTAGACGTTATTTAATATTTATTCTTTATGGTCTATGTTTAAAAGCCAATGATAGATTAGAGGGTTTGATTCATGTTTGAGGAGCAGAACAAGCAACCAAACTTCTTTTTTTTTCCCCCCAAATAGAACATTTTAGTAATTACTGTATTCACAAATTTGATTAATTACTAGAGATTTTTTATTTGTTTGTTTGTTTTTCATGACTGATGCCGATACTAATTTAGCATCCAGCGAAACTCAATGCTTGATGAGCTCCGCCAATATTTTTGGGCCGATTTTGATTATTTTCTTCAAATTATATAATCTGAGTTCAGTACAAATTCATCCACAACTTTGATTTCCTGCAAATTGCATCAGGTGTCAAAGAACAGTAGAGTCACATTTTGTGCAGTGTCCTCTTTGTAGTAAAGGTTTCAAATACGGTCTGATGTGTATTCTTAAAGCAGCGGGTTGGTCAACATAAAATATTGGCATGTGCCTGAGATTTAGGGCTGAGAGCCATTACGCTAAAAAGAGCAAATATCGGCCTGGTATAACTTTATTAATTACACAGCCTTCGCTCTTTTGAAATGTGTTTTAAAACTTAGTACTGTTACAAACCAGTGCTAGGGACAAAGGACAGTAACACAAAGAAGATGTGATGTAAAGTAAATGGCTATTATCAAGTGAAGTAAGTAAGTGCAATAACAAAAAGAAAGGTGTTTTACATTCAATAAATCAAACATTACCAATACAACTAACAATAACTCTAATGGGATAAATAACTTAAAGAAAATACAACTACTCAAGGGCCAAGCCAACCTAACAATTACAGAAAGAAACAATAGGTCCATAACGATAGTCTCACACACAATTCACAGTCGCAATGGGAGGTAACAAAGTCTATCACAGAGAGTGGCAAACTGAAACTGACATCCAGCTGACAGGAGGAACAGGCGCACAGCACTTTTATTGGATGAGGGGATGGGATGTGTAGGAAGGGGATTGGAGGAGCGGGACTTCAATCCTCCAACCAGGCACGACGAACATCGGAGCCGGCCCAACAGCAGTGGGACCACACCCCATCAATCAGGTACCACACAGCACATGCAAATACGAAAGGCAAAGGTGCTAAAACAAACGGGGAGTGCTGAGCGAGACGGAGCCCGGCCGCAAGCCATAGCAGTACTTAGGTGCCACAAAAGTCAAAGAAGTAGGCAATGTACAAGCCTTCTGTGTAAAAAGAGGGTATTATGTCGCTGTATTCGGTTTCATTCATTCACGCTTGAGACATTTTATATTCTCCAGCATTATCTTCTGTGGATAATGGCTTGTTCCTTCCTAGATTACAGCTTGTAAAATACACGGTGCTGTTTCAATACTGCCCTTTAAGTATTACAAAAATAGACAATGCGAAACACACACAGAGCAAGGCTTATTATATTGGTCACACTTCACTGAACTATTCCTTGGCATAGTTTCAAGAGTGGCGCGTTCTAAAATAAGACCTGAACACTTTTTTAGATTAGACTTGAGTCGAGGATGAACTTTTCCACAAGTGAAGAATTCTACTTTCCCTTCACTCATTTTGGCTTCGGCCCTGAGTGCGTCTATGGGTTGTCTATTTGTCACTGGAAGCTGCAGTTTTCTCTTAAGTGGCTTCTATCTCTATCGTCCATAAAGTGAAGAAGGTGGTAATAAATGCCAAAGCACTCGACTATCCAAACGGTCTTTTTAAAAACCGCTCTCCAACTCGTGTCTCTCAATGTCAAAGCCTTTTCTATGCCTCTGTGGTCAAAGAACAGGACTACTGCATAAACACGCTCTGTGGCGATTCTATTTACTACGCCCCTCTGCGCCCTCTTTCGCGCTTTTCGCACTCCCCGGGGTGTCTGGGGATCGATGGCGGCCGTGTGGGGTGCTAAGACCTTTCTCTCGTTAACACGTGCTTTATTTCAGTTTGTCAGAAAAGACCGCTCCACCATCAGCAGGCGTCCAACAGTCTCCACACGTAGGAATGGAATATTTGAAGGGGGAAAAATGTGATTTGTGAATTCTACAATCATTGTGATGCTTCAGTTTTAGATAGCTGTTTTTAAAGTCTGATTCTGTTCAGAGAGGATGTTTTAAAGCAGCACTGTGTAACTTTTCTGGTAGAGGGTCTGCTACCTATATCATTCATTGCAACCCCTGCTTACAATAAAATACAAAATCATCTTTCAGAAAATCATTTTTTGAGGTCTGGACTTTTTACCAACATTTATTTTTTAACAAAATACAAAAAGATGTATTAAAACAAACAAGTTCTATTTCTACTAGTCTCTTCCATCATATTTGATAAAATATTTGTATTATTTGAACAGAGTCTTTATGATTTTCCAATACCGACCATTCAAAAACTGATTCGATTGTGATGACTCTTTCAGGCCTCTCCACACAGCTGTTTTAATATTTTTACATGCTCTTGCCCGGACTATTATTCCCATTTGCGGGGGGTAAATATGCCCCAGTTTGCAGCGCCTCTAAAGCCTTCTTGCCTCTGCTGGCTCGAGATAGGGGCAGGTTTTATCCCATGACCAAACGGTTTTTGAATAAGAATGTGAAGGGCTTTGGAGAGCAGTGTCACATCAGAGCAGTCTGAGGGATGATTAGTGCAGACAGACACTCACCTCAAGCACAGGAACAGGAAGAACGCGATGAGCAGGGCCACCATGGAGATACAGTGCCCCAGGAAGTTGATAATGACTGCGATCTGGTAGTGCATCTTGCCTTTTTTCTGCAGAAAGAACAAAGTTGGGCTGTCAAAAAAACTGAAACTTAAGACTTAGTTTAGTTTAGTTTAGACATTACAAAAACCCATCCCATACAGTTGTTTTCCTCTTTTTTATTGTCATATTAGAGACAATACAACAATAAAAACATTGGACATTTTGACTTGAGGGATTCGGGAGTGCATACATCAAGGTTTAAAAGGGGTCACGAAAACAATAATATGAAGTGTGAATGCGTGCATATCCGTGTGTGCCAATATAAGTAGGTAAATGATAAAGGTGAAAGCTGTGATTCTTTTAGCTTGTTGTTCAAACATGAAACAATTTTCAATATTTACAAATCACTCTTTTTTATACAGCTTATAGTTTGTCTTTTAATTGTCTGTGTTTTTGGTGTGATTGAGTATTATCCATATGCCTGTTTATGGTTTACCTTTTGGAACACTACTTTATAAAGTGAACAAACATAACTGAAAAATACAAAAATGAGTTAAATTCATTACTACCGTATTTTTTGGACTATAAGACACACTTTTTTTCATGGTTTGGGTGGCCCTGCGACTTAAACTCTGGTGCAACTTATATGTTAATATTTTCATACTGACAGCCGTGAGAGTCTCTAAGCTGCTGTCCTTTCTGTATCATGTCACTCGATCGCAGCATTACTTCTGTATAAGTGACAATTTAAAAATTAAACGAATATAAAGGCAAGTGAAACCATCCTGTTGAGATTCAGAATGGCCAGAATAATTCTAACTGGAACTGATGCTGAGTCTGATGACAGCTACACAGAAGAGGAAGCAGGGCTCCGTTTACCTCTGGAGGTCGTGGAGTTGCTCAGAAGTGACACCGAGGATAAAGAATTTAATGGATTTAGTGATTTGGAGTGAGATGGAGAGTTTGATAAACTTGTTCTGTTCTGTTGTTTATGCTTTAATTATCTAAAGAACTGTTCATATGTGACGTTAACAGCCTGTTGTTCTCTGTTCTATTGGTATTACTGTAATTTGCCTTTCAAGATGAAATGTCAGTTCCTTTCACACTCCTTTCCCCCAAGGAGTGTGACTTATAGTCCGGTGTGACTTATAGATGTTTTTTTCTTCTTCATTACACATTTTTTGCTGGTGCGACTTGTAGTCCAGAGCTACTTTAAGTCCAAAAAATACAGTACCTTATTTTACAGGATAGTGAACCAGTATACAATTTCCATTGCATGTTATTGCATATATTATTATACATACTCTGTTGTTATTGTTGTTTATGAGATGTTTGTGTGTGAATCCAGAACTTGAACTTCGAGAAACTTAAATAAACTAGACATAGTAGCTCAAAAATATATATAAAAATCTCGGTAACTCTCAGTAAATAATACCATTTAAAAATTATGTAAACAACAATTGCGTGTAAGTACTATGAAACAAATATTTACCAACAAAAACATCTGTAGTGTATGTACAAGACTCACTACATTTACAAAATTAGGTATATAAGATGATGCAAAAAATATATATTCACATTCATATTAGCATGTCAACTGTGGGTCTTTAATGGAACTAACCAAATAAACTAGAACTAGTATTGTACTTTAAGTATTGAGGTATTTCCTTTCATAAGTTTTAAATTTTAGTTTAGTGGCCCAAGAATAACACTATAACAAAGAGGAAATTGTAACTTTTGTCTTTGGGGCATATTCCAATTTACAAAAACAACATTGTCTAAATTGCCAAGAGTGGAAAAAAAATCCTCTTTACCCCATTTATCTTTTAATTTTGCAGAACTAACTCCTACTGTGATAAAAGTGGGAACACATGCATGCACTATTATACACGCAGTTCTTTCCTTATTATTGTTAAGCCAAATATTTAGTAAGAATAACACAAAATCATCTTTAACCAAATTACAGCAACACATCCAGGGCTGTCCATTGTGATCGGCTTGCCCCTTGTCATTAGCAACAGTAATCTGCACTCTAAGTGGATTTATGTAACCTGCTGGTGATGTCTACTCCCAGATTAAACATGGGCATCTTTTTAATCCGCTGGCACTCGGGCACACGTCATCTCCGCAACACTGACTCTATTTGTTATGCCAGTGCCAGTCCTCGACACATCCACTAGACTGATCGTGCGGTTGCCTTGGTTCTCATTAGTTTGGTCACCTCGTAAAAAGAATCATGGTTCAGAAAGAGAACAGAGTGTCAGGGAATAAATCAGGCAAATTGGGGCTAGACTGAGGAATAAAACCAGTGATGGACAGATTTCTTTACTGACGAGTAGACATACACAAGACAAGACAAGAGTGAGGTACAACATAAAAAACACAAGAAGTATTCAAAGGTGCACTATGTTGGCCAGACTGGTGCCACCTAGTGCCTCCACTCAATTTCATTTCTTTCCAGCAACTAGGTCAGGAATCAGAATGCACTAGATGGTTCACAAGAACCCCAGAAGTGTGAGTTCGGGCACCAGCCAATCAGCGAAGAGCCATATATTCTGTGTTGGCAACGATTCCCGAGAGCGAGGATTTAAAGCCGGAACAAAGAGAATGTTTGGTGAAATTTATCAAGGGGAAAAATATTATTGTCCTTCTTCCTAGGGGATTTGGGAAAAGCTTAATATACCAATTAGCCCTTATAGTTGTGCATTACATATGTCATGACCAAATTGTAGTGACTGGTTAAAAATGTAAAAGTAAGTTTAAAAAGGTACCCACCTATTGTCGGGCGAATGAATCCTAATACTATGAGGTCAGAAGGTTTCCACAAAGTGAAACAGGCTGATGAATCAGGCTAGCACTATGTGACATTTCTGGTAAAAGGTACACCACTTGCTTGTCTCTATGAAGATGTGATAGCTGTGCCTGGAAAGTTCCACAGTATGGCATTAAATTAACACTCTTGCATTTATTCAATTATAGATCTTATTTATAGATTATAGATTATTTTATAGTTTTATGAGCATGCATTTTTACTTTCTTAGTTTCACCACTCCACAGATCTAACCTGTAATTTGGACTGTTGGCACCACCTGCTACTCTCCATGGATATACTGTAGATAAGTTTAATGCTATACTGTGGAAGACTGCATGCAAAGTAATAGTATCTCTGTAGAGAAAAGCAGGTGACAGACCTTCCTCCAGAAATGCCAGTTTAAATTTAAAAGTCTAAGTACAGATAAAAAAAAAAAGTTATTCATATATAGTAAATTAAAAATATAGATAGATATTAAAAAATAATAATTGTGTACCTTTACAAGTCAAGTCTAAATAAGCTGAAGAGAAGAAACTGAATCTGCTGCTGATTTTTTCTAAACCAAAATGCATCAAAAATTACATAAAAAACCCAACTAGATTTTATAATATAATTTTGAGCTACTCCACATAATTACCCTTGTGGATCATTTACTTCTGACATCATTTTCCTCCTTTACACTTTTCCACTATAAGATCAGCCCACCCCTGCAGGAGATACAAAACATCACGTGTGGATAATAAAAAATCTAACCTAACTAGTTTTCCTTCCTGTTGAAACACGCTTCATTGGAAAAGTAACCTTGGGTGAATCCTGAGAGGAAATGGAAGACTTGATTGTACTCAAACCAACTTTCTCTTAAGTACTTGATGCACTCCCAGCGGGGCCATCGCATTTCTGGTTCAATAAGGACTTGAAAGAGACTGCACCCCCACACCCAGCCACCCACCCACCCCCCGCCGTCTATACTATCTCACAAGTCTGTCTCCATACCGATGTCAATCACTGCACGGTTCCACATAAGCTCTGCCGAGTGATTCATTTCAGTGCCACAAACAGGAAAAAAATAAGACATTTTTAAAAGGTCAGACGCCATATTTATCTTCGGACGGAGATCGATCAGACACAGCCCATTCGGAAACTGTCAAAGTGAACACAAAATGAACAGCGTCATTCCCCAAAAAGAAAAAAAAAAGAAAGAAAAAAACAGTCCAAACACTCAGAAATCTATAATGTACAAACAACCACAGCTGTTATATGTGTTGGAAGATTGTTTACGCAATTGATATTTTATTTGTTTGTTTCAGTGAAGTGAAAAATGCCATATGTCCATTTGAAAAGCACTTGTTATGTGCTGCAAAGCACTTGTTATGTGCTGCGTTCACTCTGATAGCTGACTACTTGTCTAAGAAACTTTTTGTTATTGAGCTTGGTCAAACTTTTCCTCTTGTCAATTCAGGACACACATCGGCGTATTTTCTGTGATGAAGTAGTGTAACTCTTGGACTCTGGTCACTGGATGAGGTTGATGTTTGAGACCTGTGACTCAAAACCAAAATGACTGAACCTTCAGACAATGAGACTTCTCTACGTACAGACTTCAATCAGGAATCAGGATGAGCATTGTGTGTTTCTTTAAGCAAGAAAAAAAAAAAATATATATATATACTATATTCTGTAACATAGATTTAGAGAAACTATATTGTTGCTTCACTGTTGTTTTTTTTACCTCCTCTGTTCACTGTTGTATTTATTGCATTTTATCACTGTTCTTATGCTTTTTAGTCATTTTCAATTTGTACAGCACTTTGGGCAGTGTTAACTGTATTTTAAACATGATTTATAAATAAACCTTAGCCTTGACCTCAACTTATAGAAGCTCAAAAACAAATAAACAAGCAGTAATAAAATAAGAATAAAAACATCTAAATATAAATTTCAAACAATTTCAGTACTAAAAGAAAAAAGCTTTTGAGCACTAACTCAATACTAATTTTACAATGATAATAAAAACTTTAACACAAAATAATTATAGTTTAGATAATATTAGCATGTAGTTTTATATTAGTTCAGATATTCTACCCTATTGATATTTTCTACCCTTTTAGTATAATTTCTGGCAAACAACCCCAAAAAGAAATTACACTGGTGTAACAAGGACACATGCAGATCGGTCCTTCTAATCTGTCCTACATCATCAGAGGTATAATACTCCCTACAATAGAAGCATAGCAAGACCTGAACAGTACTACTACA